GACACTCTAGCCCACGTTTTATACTACCCCATGAAACCTTTAGTTACCACACGTTCTATGGAGTATTTACGTTTCAGAGAATTGCCTGCGGGTATCAATTCCATTGTAGCCATTCTTTGTTATACCGGTTACAACCAAGAAGATTCTGTCATCTTAAATGCTTCTGCTGTAGAAAGAGGTTACTTCAGATCCGTGTTTTACCGTTCATACAAAGATTCGGAAAACAAACGTATCGGGGATCAAGAGGAGAACTTTGAAAAGCCCAATAGACAAACCTGCCAAGGCATGCGTAATGCTCATTATGACAAATTAGATGATGATGGTATTATTGCTCCTGGTATTCGTGTGTCCGGTGATGATGTGGTTATAGGTAAAACTATTACTCTGCCCGAAAATGATGATGAATTAGATGGCAATACAAAACGTTTTACAAAGAGAGATGCCTCAACGTTCTTGCGTAATTCTGAAACTGGTATTGTCGATCAAGTAATGTTGACACTTAACAGTGAGGGCTACAAGTTTTGTAAGATTCGTGTGAGATCAGTGCGTATACCGCAAATTGGTGACAAGTTTGCTTCGCGTCACGGTCAAAAGGGTACTTGTGGTATTCAGTATCGTCAAGAGGATATGGCATTTACTTGTGAAGGTTTAGCTCCCGATATTATTATTAATCCTCACGCTATTCCCTCTCGTATGACAATTGGCCATTTAATTGAATGTCTACAAGGTAAACTTGGTTCAAACAAAGGTGAAATTGGTGATGCCACACCATTCAATGATGCCGTCAACGTACAAAAGATTTCGACTTTCCTGCAAGAATACGGCTATCACTTGCGTGGTAATGAAGTCATGTACAACGGCCACACCGGTCGCAAAATTAATGCCCAAGTTTTCTTGGGTCCCACCTACTATCAACGTCTCAAACATATGGTGGATGACAAAATCCACAGCAGAGCTCGTGGTCCTGTACAGATTTTGGTGCGTCAACCTATGGAAGGCAGAGCTCGTGATGGTGGTCTACGTTTCGGTGAGATGGAACGTGATTGTCAGATATCCCATGGTGCTGCACAATTTTTACGTGAACGTCTCTTTGAAGTCTCCGATCCGTATCGTATACATGTCTGTAATTTCTGTGGTCTAATTGCAATTGCCAATCTGCGCAACAACACGTTTGAATGTAAGGGCTGTAAGAATAAGACACAAATCTCACAAGTTCGTCTACCGTATGCAGCTAAATTATTGTTCCAAGAATTAATGTCTATGAATATTGCACCACGTTTGATGGTCGTTTAGTATGTGTCAACAACAACTCGGACGAGGGTCCATGATAAGGCTCACTTAATTTTCATTTACGAAATCAATATAATAATAAGAATTTTTTTATTTAAAATTATACACATGTAATGGATAAAATCGTATGTATGACTAAAGTCTTAATAAAGTTTTATTAAAATATATCTATTTACAATCGATTATTATTTTTGCAAGTTTCTAATGTTAGTTTGTTTTGTAGTTTAGGTCCATATTTCTAATTAAATTTTGAACTGGTTCAAAACTAAGTGATGTAAAAAAGTCACTGGCAAAAAACAAATCATATTTAAATACTGCTTCTAAAATAAGATATCTAGTTCAAAGTTGTATTTAGAGAAAAATTGATATTGCAGCATTTATAAATCTTACAAAGATTAAAACTGATCTGAAAATACCAAAATATGTGCTATAAACATATACATATTACATATACTCTAAAAAACGCAAAAAATGTCCCCTTGGCCTTCGTTCGTTTTATTTTGTTTCTAAAATTAATATAAATTTTTAGAAGCAAGTTTTTAGTAATCGTTTTTTCTAAAATTTCTAATTAAAGTATGATACTTATACATAATTAAAACAAAGCTCATCGCTTTTATCTCATTTGAAATAAGTTTCCTTGTTAATTATCTCATTGAAAATAACAAATAACAGTTTTGTATTTTCTATTTATGGCTTAAACTATTACTATCTGGCTTAAACTACATTTACTCCTAAAATATGTTCAATAAAACTGATGTGTAACATTAGGATGGTGCTTAGTTTTAATGCAATTGAATAATTTATTAAAATATATGTAAAAAAAAGTTTAATTTTAATAGACGTTTCTGCATAAGACAGATAAGGTGGAAGGAAGAATGTTAACACACAATGGATCCTATAAGATCTTAGAATCTTGATCTACAAATAATATAACAGCGAAGCTACAGATCATTAGCAAGTTATATATAAATCTCAATACCTCAACTAAAATTTATGAGAAATGTTTCTGAACTATTTTTTTTTTTTTTTTTTTTTTGCTTTTGAGGCCTCAAGAAAATTAGTTTAGCATTAAATTAACAAATGTATTTTGATGCCAACTTAATGTTTATGCTCAAATATTTGGTAAATACTTAAAAACGTATTATCTACTCCTTTTTAAAATAATTTAACATAAAAATATACAAACGATTGTTCAAAGAAAAATACTTGTTCATACATTAGTGACATAAATGGCAAAAACAAGGCCAAAATCAAGAGAAACATCTTTTTAATACATTTAGGCATATTTTGTTTGCATTTATTGTTTCAAATGGTTTAAAAATAAAACTTCAATTGTTTTTTTATTTAGTTTTGAGACAATTTTTTATTAAAATATATATAAAGTATATGTAAATATGTTAAATACGTAATTATATTTATTATAAAAAGCATTACAAAATTTCTCATAAAAAAGTTAATAAAATATAAAATGTTTTATAATAAAAAAATACTATTATATAAAGATTTCGATTAAAATATGAAAAAAGTTTTTGTTTATGAAATAAAACTAATTTTGTTATTTAAGTTAAAGGGAGCAACTAAATAAAAGGTTAATAACAATTAACTTTTCTACATGAGATAGTTGATCCATTTATCAATAGTGTCAAATGACATCATTATCTCATGCTGGAAATGTTGATAGTTACAGGCTTTTAAACTTTTAGGTTTTTTCTATTATTATATTGCAATTTACTAATATGGCAGTGTTTGTTTACAATAAACCAAATTTTCATTAAAATCTCAAATATTGCCTTTTTAAGTATAAGTATATTGGAAAATTTTAAGTATATTGTTTTAAAACAACTGTTAAAATAACAAATTGTGCTACAGATTATTTTTTATTAAGTATAAGATTTTAAATTCAAATTTTATTTTCTTATAAAATATTTTTATTAAACCAATATAATATAATTTTAACTTAAAAAACTATTTGTAAATTTCTCTTTTTGATTAGTATGTTCTCGGTTTGTTCACACTGATTAAACACAGAAAATGTTGGAAACACGTTATTTGTATTCATGTAGTTTTCAAATCATAATAAAAATAAAATAAAAAGCAGTATAAAACGATTTATTCTAAAATCATTCTGAAACCTAAAAACAAGTCTAAAATTGTTTAAATATTTATATTTAAAAAAAGTCACACTTTGAAATATCGAGGGACTATATTCAATAGTCGCTATCTGTCATTTTTATGAAAATGAGATTTTGATGGCAAAATATTCAGCAAACTATCGCGCATCAGTGATATAAATTTCAAAGAAAAAAAATATTTTTTGGCAATTTTATAGCATTTTTTAAATTTCTCTATCTTAAAAAAAGAAAAATTCTGAATGCAAAACTCTCTATCTTATCCAAAAATTGCTTCAAACTCGATCCCTTTGGATAATTTTCTGTTGCAAAACAAGTCTTCTTAATAATTTGGACATGCTGAACACAAATATTTAAAATCGGTCTAATAGTTTTTGAGATATCGCTCATTATGATACTAATTAAATCAATTTTATTGTCGTGTTTAACCATATAACATTGATTTTGGACCAAAACATTATAATCTGTTGCTTTTTCAACAATTCGGTTTCTTTTCCTCCATTAAATTGTATAAAATATAATATTTATTGATTTTAATTCAAATAAAAATTTTATGTTTCCATGAAAAACTCTCTATCTGTTGGTTGAATGAACATTTACGTAGAAAAATAAGCTCTATCTGATATAAATTTGTGAATAATTTTGTAAATAATGCAAAAATTAAAATTCTTTTTATATAATGGTTTAGAATATGGTCGTAAAAATATATTGTAAAAGAAAAAATTAAAAAATCTTCACGAACTAGCGAAATAAACAGTTTTTTTGCTCTCCTGAAAACTTGTATTATTTTAGATAGAGACTATTGAATATAGTCCCTCGATATATTTAAGTATAAGGTTTGTGAATAAGTTGAGAATTCATGTTATTGCAAATTATATTAATCTTAAACAAACTTGAAAGAATTAAAAATTTCACCGGCCAACAAAAATTTAAAAAGTCCGTAACCAAGAGAACAAGTTTTATCGTTCTTGAGCAGCGCTGAATCCGAATTTATTCTTAACATCACATCATTGAAATATCGCGTCCTAAAATATAAACAACCCCTTTGTTGTCATATTTGAGAGGTTATTATAGCGCGGGGACACTAAACTGAACTAGAACTGAACTAGAACTGAACTAGAACTGAACTAGAAATGAACTAGAACTGAACTAGAACTGAACTAGAACTGAACTAGAACTGAACTAGAACTGAACTAGAACTAAACTAGAACTGAACTAGAACTGAACTAGAACTGAACTAGAACTGAACTAAAACTGAACTAGAACTGAACTAGAACTGAACTAGAACTGAACTAGAACTGAACTAGAACTGAACTAGAACTGAACTAGAACTGAACTAGAACTAGAACTGAACTAGAACTAGAACTAGAACTGAACTAGAACTGAACTAGAACTGAACTAGAACTGAACTAGAACTGAACTAGAACTGAACTAGAACTGAACTAGAACTGAACTAGAACTGAACTAGAACTGAACTAGAACTGAACTAGAACTGAACTAGAACTGAACTAGAACTGAACTAGAACTGAACTAGAACTGAACTAGAACTGAACTAGAACTAGAACTGAACTAGAACTGAACTAGAACTGAACTAGAACTAAACCTTTGGCCATATTTGGGTAAATTATAAATTTCAAAAAATTACATATTTGTGTATTTAAAGGCTTAATATGTACTTCAATGGATGATACCTCAGCAAGAAATTTTTAAACTATTTAGTAGTGTTTTTTCAATCAATAGTTGTTTCAAGAAGTAAGAATATAATATAACTGAAATTAAACCTATTAAGAAATCCTGGTGTGACGGAGGAATTTTAAGGGCAGTTTCTTAATCCTTTTGCAACTATGTATAATGTTGTCTCTGGTTTAAACATTTGTATGTATTTTTAATTCATCAAAGATTCAATTCCCAGACAATTTAAGTAATTCCTTAATGAATTGATTTCTATAGAAAGTTAAATTCTATTCGAATAGTTAAAATTTGTTTGAATTCAATCTGTTAAACATCCCATAGAATTTTAAATAATTTTTGAATGTTAAAATAAATTCATAAGTTTGTCTAAAACGTTTCAAGATATTTAACAGTTTTTTCTTAAAAAAGTGTTATTAATTCAAAAATTAATATGTAATTTGCAGTATTATAAGCTTGTGATATACTGCCTGTACTTTTACTGATAATGCAGTAAAAGATGCAAATAAAAAAATTGCATAGAACCAAAAAAAAAACGAATTTCACAATTCGTTTTCCTGTTTTTATCAATGACTCATCTGTAAGATTAGATAAATAATACAACTAACTTAATTTTGTAAAAATAAAAACTAAAATTTACCTTTTTATTTATAAGGGTAATTTCCCTTTTTTTATTTTGATTCATAGATTTTCGTTGTTTCTTCCATTACTAAGTTATCACATTCTCTCTTATTGCTCCCTTATACTTAAAACTCACCCCCGAAATAAACAAAAGAAAAATTAGCACGACCTTTTGTTAATGTAATTACACTCGGCCAGCTGGAGCTATAGAGTTTTTATCATGAAAACGTAAAATACGCGTTAACATGGTGGTAATGCAAGGTATTTGTTTCTGCTGATGCATCTCTGGCGTATCAGGAGTACAGGATTCGAAATCGACGGCAACACGCTGGCAGACAAAAGTCAATAAGGTCAATATATCATAACGTTTGCCATTGGCTGCCAATTCAGCACACAATGATTGCATAAACCAGGAACCACGGGTAGTATTGCGCCAGGAATAAAATCCTGGTATGGTAGAATAGGCAATGAGAAAATCGGCATGCACTGGTATTTTATAGCTCATCGATGAGTCACCATCAGTTTGGGTAACAGCTCGTTTCATGGTTACACCAGGATCCAAACGATCACCTTGGCAAGCTTGAATAAAGAATAGCTTGGGTTTACCGGCCAAAGAGCGGCAATGTTGAGCGGTGAAATAATTCCATATACTGTCCAGTTTGTATTGCGTATCTTTGGCATAAATGAAACCCATTTCACCATGCGACAAAATGGCTACCAATATACAATCACTATTGCTGTGATCTTGATTAGCAGCCCATTCGATTTGCCGTTTAATTTCACCATAGGTATAATCCTTATGTATTTTAACATCGAATTCTAGCTGTTTGAGGCAACGTGCTAAATTATCACAGTCAACATTGGTGCCTGAACGTGATTTCAGTGTTGGCACCATAAAATGTTCATGATTAAAAATCAATGCCAGACCACGATTCTTATGACGCATATTGTATTCGACAGCATGACGATCGGTAGGCATTACTGCAGTGTAATTGCTCGACGATGTATTATACGATTTGTTTGCCAGCTGGGCTATTGCTCCTTGTTGTTGGTGATGATTCGATGAACCGCCACTGGCATAATAGGTGGTGGAGGCATTATTTGCGGAGCCCAGTGAACCAAATGCATCAGTGATATCATCAGTATTAGTAGAGCGTTCTACAAATGCTCCCACCTGATCTTCAGATGCTGCAGCCATTTTTTTAATTAAACACTTTTTTACTTTAATAATATAAATATGTGTCTTTGTTTATTAAATTAATGCACTTTAAGTTCTTTTTGTTTTATTTTTCACTTTATGCGGTTTGTGTAGCTATCTTTTGAGATGCTTTTGTTCGATTGATGAAGCGCGTCTGTTTTTTTATAAAATTACTTGTTGTTTTTGATTATGCTTTGTTATGTTTTTTGTTTTGTATATTGTTTTATTTTCCTTTTCTTTGTTTCTTTTTTTCAGTGTTGTCAAATTTTTAAAGCATGAAAATCACTTATAAAAATATACTAAGGCAGGGATGGAAGTTTTAGTATTATTGCATATTTATACCCTTCACCTTTGTGAGATAAGTATATGTATATGATGAGTATAATCCAAAATGTGTTGAAATCAGTTTTCAGAATACCCTACAATAGTTTATATCAGACATGCTTTCGAGAAGTTCAATTAGTAAAATCGGCCCATAAATAATGAGCAAATGTTTGAAACAACACAACAATGCGTTTTTCTTTCAGAAACTTTCCAGCTATTTCAACAAATTCTTTTCTTTCGTCCAGACATTAACATAGTTGAAAATTATTAGAATCCTTTCAAAATTTCAATACACAAATTATTCAGCGAAATTTTTTCCGGATCGGCTCATAATTGGACATAGTATCCATATAAAGCCCTCTTCCGAAAATCACTTAATCGCAAATAACTCATTACTTAATTTAAATCCTACACGAATTTGTGTATATATGTATGTATGTACATTAGGCTTCGTTTCAAAAAATAAAATGTTTCCCGTTTTTGTGATATTACAACTTTTTAGAAGGTTTTTGTATCAGTGATTACTATGCTGTAATAATTTTTTCAAAATTCCAACTCCTTCCTCTGCATATCTGAGGCGGAAACCACTGATTTTGAGCGACATTTTTTACAGAGCAGAAACTGTAGAATTTATAGGAAATCATGTTCAAATAATTGATTTTATAGAAAAAATCAATAAGAATGAGCTTAATTTCGCACTTTTATAATGCTTCAAAAGTGCATTTAGTATTATTCAAAAAATGCTGAGACAAATGGTGCAAAAACAAAAATTTTATCATTAACCCTTTAGATGTGATGAGATTTTAAATTTTCAGATTTTAAACTTTACAACGCTATATTTCGAAAACCACGAAAGTTATAAGGCCCAAGATTTGTCATTATACAAGTTATATATGGAACATAAATTCGATGGAGTTTTATTAAATTCGGAGATGATGATGAAAAACACCATTGTTTGATTGGAAATTATTAAACTACAAGCCAACATTATAACTATCATAACTCCTAAAGGGATTACAATAAATTAAAAATTTTAACACTATTTTTTTAAGGGCATTGAATATTATATTTACGAATGATAAAATCAGGTTTTTGATTTTTTTTTTTTTTTAATTGCATTTTTTCTTTTGCTCATATGCATTTATAGTGCATCTAAATTCTGTCAAATTAAGTTTATATATCTTAAATTTTCCTGCAGAATAGTATACTAAAGTCAGATTTCAAATATGTACAGCAGTTTTCGGACTATAAAAATGTCGCCCAAAATCGGTATTTTGGCCGCAGATATGCAGATTTTAACAAAATAATTACGCCAATATTAGCGCTGTTCCAAAAACTGTCATAAAAGGTATGATATCACAATTTCAAAAGTATTGCGTGAAGCCTAATGTACATATACAAATTATTCTGCTACACTTTTTCCGCATCGTTCCATTATTATTACAGTATTTTTTATTAGTAAAAACTTATGTAAATTATAGAAAACCTTATCAAATTAAATTTAATATAAAAACAATTAACAAAAATATCGAGAGACCACACATGTTGAAAACTCTCTATCTTGATAAAATACGTATATAAATTTAAAAAAGTGGCTCATATTTCAAAAAAAATTCAGACGATTTCAAATATTCAACGGTTTTATGATTAGCATGTCCAAATTGCTAGGAAAACTTATTTTGCAACAGAAAATTATAAAAAATGGAATAAAAATATTTTGAAAAAGATAGACTATTTTTATTCATACAAAACTATTTTTCATAGTTTTTTTATGTAGGACTGAACATTTTTTATTTCAAATTTTTTTCACCCGAATTTATACACACTTCCATATTCTGTTCAAACATAAATGAGTTATTAAGACTGTGACCAAAATTTTGTAACTTTTTTCCCACGTGGAGAGTATATTTACTTTTTGTTATTTTGTCAAACCTTATCATTATAGTCTCTCGATATATTTATATCCTAAGAATATTCTAAATATTAACAATTAAAACCACTAAATTTACACTTAATTAACTATTCATAATCAAAGGCTAAACCACTGCCCCTGGAATTCTTGACAATCCATTCATCGAAACGTTCCGACATTTCAGCCGATATATAATTTTTCCAATCTCCTATCTGACCTTTACGTATAAATTTACTTTCAGCATTGCCCGCTACATCATCCCTATTGCCATTGGCATCGATTTGACTAAGAATAGGCTCTAAATTAACTGCCGGGTTCGATTGCATTTTATCAAATTTTAAATGATCACATATACGTTTCATATCTTCATCGTTGATCTGATAATTGAGTTTTAAGAAATGCGCACATTTACGCACCACCGCTGGTAAATCTCTTTTCATATCTTCATATTTCAAAAATAATACATTCGGATCTGTTGAATGTTTCCAAAAGGGTAAAACATGCTTCCAATATGATCCGATCGGTGTTTGTTCATTGATAAATAAATCTAGAAATTCATCGAATGGACCTTGTAGGCCGTGCATCAGTTTGCAGTAGTGATAGAAAGAAACACATAGATCTTTGGGATTACGCGCGGTGTAGATTATCTGTAATTAAAATAAATTATTCAGATTTGAGTTTAGTATTGAGGTGAGTAGTATATGCATATGTTTACCTTGGCCTTAGAGGTTTCCAGATCCTTGGGTAATAAATGCCATGGTAAATGGGAACGTGAAAAACGTGGACGTGGCATATTCTTAACAGTTTCCACTGTATTGCCCAATGAATTGCTACAATAATTAAAGTTATTTTATTGGATTATTAATTTTTTTAATATAAATGTACGAACATCAACAACTTTCATTTTGGGACCTCCCAAATGTACATACATAAATAGGTATTTTATAATGTAGTCCCTCGATAAAGAAAAAGTTCCGTGATTATGCTTTCTATGTAATGCAAAAAACAAAGGCTCTCTAGGCGAATTAATTAAGCGCGCATTGTAATGGAATCTGCACTTAAATGTAGGAATTTTACCAAATTTTTAAGAAAGCCCAGGTTTTAGGTACCATTTTGAATTAAATAAAATAAGTATTACCCAACTTTTGATAAGCGATAGTTGAGAAAGATATAATTTTACATTCCCCAAGTAATCTAGAGAGTTGACGAGAGCCCTGCATAGTTTGGTTGCTAGGTGAACTGATGGGTTATATCATGGTTAAGAGGGACATTATTGCAAATACAGACCTACATACAGAAGTATGTAGGTCTGTGTAATAGCGTAATGTTTAAACCGGATTAGAATAAATATGACGTCAACAGATGTTAACATATTTTCTCCTATACGTTTCTTGGGGTAATGAAAATGTTTGGTGGAACCAGAAAGATTCTGTGGGATAACTCTAACGAGAAGATAACAAGAAGCCTTTTTAAGTTAGAATGATAATACATATTCTGAGTGGACGCACGGGAGTATAGGCACAATTGTGCAGGGTTGGTCGAGGGGGCTTAGACAAATATAGTTAGAACAGTGAAACTCTGCAACGTTTTCTTTGCTTTCATCGAAATTAGTTCCAGACATTTGAAAGCGATTTTAATCCAGATCTGAAATCCTTTACGAACTCTGATTGGAAAATTTTAAGGAACTACGTCCAAGAAGAAAATTTACCAACAGAAAAAAAAAATAGGTTAAAGTTACATTCCTTAATAAAGTGTCGGTCAAAAAAATTAAAAAAATAAAAAATTACATTCAGTTCCTAATAACTGACTTATGCTTATGCAAAATATAGAAGTGTGTATACTTTTAATAGAAAAGTTTTTCTTTCTCCGGATTTAAGGGTTTTGAGATACAACATTTTAGTTCCGACAACAATTAAAAATCCGATAATTCCAGAGCACTTGGTCAAATTTTAAGTAATTTGTTGCTGTTTCACATTGTAAGGAGTCCAAATTTTTAAATATTACCGAAAATTATCAAAATCAGATCTAAGGGTGTTTCCTGCATACACTTGAGAAATTTGGATTTACATTTTTAAACGTTGTATCCAAATGTCATTCTTAAAATGCATATATTATGTATAAACAAAACACTTACGATACCCACTCATGATGATCTTCACTAAACAAAGCGGACAGCTCAATTAAGGGGGATCTCAATTGTTGCATTTGTTTGGCACCTTCAAAATCCAAATTATTACCCAAAAGCCAAATCATTTCCTGGGCCCATGTTGAACCAGTTCTTGGATATGATACCAACCACACATCATCCACATATGTTTGGAAGTTTTTAATAGATTCACCAATTTCCATAAACTTACGTGGTAATATAACATTACCCGGTAAAACCTCTATGAAACAATCCTTTTTAGGAAACAAGGCATCGATTCTTTCTGCAATCTCCTTATCCAACTCTTTAAACGTCAACTCCATAATTTAAGTTGCAGTTATTTTTTTTTTTTTTTTTGTAATTGATTTACTTTAAGCTTAAATATAACTCGCTCCAATTCACACAATTTTAGTATTATGAAGAAAATTAACGATCTCTCGTACGAGTTTTGTATTATTGTTTTGGAAAAGTTCAATTAAAAATAAAAATTTTACAAAGCAAAAACATCCGTTTGGCTGAACGTTTGCTGAAAGACTGCATGAATATTGTTTTCAATTTTGATGAAAAAGTACAAGTTCAACGCAAATTATTTTTTGTATTTTGGTTTGTACCACCATACACCACATTTTTCCTCCAGCCTGTGGTCTTAGTTAAGTGTATGGAAATGCTGCTTAATTTCAGTGAAAGTAAAAGTGTTTTTCCGTTATTGGCGAACAAAGAAAACTTGTATTTACAATCATACTTATCTACAACATCTACATACATACAAAAAAATAAATAAAAACAATTAATAAATTGGCTATAAATTTCTTATTGATGATCTACTACGGTTTATATTCGTAGCAAAAAAAAACCAAACAAGTTTGAAGTAGGTAATGGATAGTATTGAATGAATTAAAGCATTCAATCATACATTCATACATTTTTTTTATCGTTTCTCTCTGAATTTAAATGCTCACAGTAATAGTTATGGTCTGGTTTTATAGTTCATCCTTAGGAACGAAATCATACTTATGTATGTAAAACTTGAAATGTAACAGATCAATTCTTAAAAAAGTTTCCCTCAAATATTTAACATACAAAACTAAATTTAAAGTTTTATTTTCTATACCTCTTAGGGCCAATCTTTAAGTGAAAGATTAGCGATTAAATTAAAATTAATCCTCGAAAGATGTTTTTGAGTACTCAATTAGTTAATTTTGTTTGCAAGTTTAAGCGCCCAATGGAGGTGGTTTAATCTTAAGCACGAAATGCAAAAGTGTAAACAGCTGATGCAAAAAAATTAATAAAATTTTTATAAATATAAACATTAAAATGTTCTATTTATTGATTAGTATAAATTATGGTCACTTCAAAATACATTTTTTTGTTTTTAATTTAAGTTTTCATTAATTTTCATATTAAATTTACAATTGTCTTCTTCTTTTTTATAAAATATGCATTGTTTTGATAACAAACAGTGACATTTTCTGTTGTTTTGTATGGCAACACTGCGAAGTTTAATCTTGTACTCAAAAACATCAAAGGGGATTAACATAAGATTAAATTTATTTTTAGATTAACTAATCTGATTATTAATTGGCTTTTGATTACCATCTAAAAAACCCGCTCTTAATAATTCGTTAAAAAAGTGGTATTGGTTTTTTTAAAGTCGCAAAATATTCTATGGATTTAGTTTTTAAATCAATATGAATCTTGTAACCCCTTGATAAATCATTTATTTATGATTTTATATGTAAGTTACAAATGGCCTGTACACGTTCTACTTTTTGCACTGAGAGCAATTTATCAATTTTATCAAAAAAATAATTGCCTTTGGAATAAATTATGTGAAATCTTTAGAGAATCAACACTCATTCTATGTAACAGTTCTCGCACCTAGGAACTAGTTCTAGAGAAGCTTTAAAAAATAAATAGCTCCTTTTTCCAGTGATTTTTATTCGAGATTGTTAAGTTTAGGATCATTTTTGAGAAGCGTTGATTTTTCATTTTCGGAGCTAGTATAGATTCCATTGTTGGTGTAGCACCAACATATAACTAAGGCCAAAGAACGGCTTCAAATTACCTTGATTATATTTTAAAATCATAACCATTATTCCGTATGCATCTGTTTAAGAACTAGTTAATCTGGGTTAATCTCTTAAAGCCCTATTTTTGTAAAAATTTTGATTTACAATTTTATAAATACTATACTAAATCAAAAACATAAATTAAAACCCATAACAATCATCTCTAACTTTCCCAAAAAAAATATTTAAATTTTATAGACTGGCATTAGACAGAGAATAAAAACTGCTCGATTATAAATTGCATGAAATCTCATAAATTTTAAAACTCTACGACATAAATATATTTAGTATTTATTCAATATACATATATACCTACATATTGAACAAAAGTAAAATTTGGTGTCAAAATTTGCATAAATTCTTAACTTATGATTAAATACCATTGGAAGGTTTACATAAGTTTCTCAAAGAAATCAAATGAGAATGATGAAAGGTTTACATGTTTGAAATGCTACAACTATGTAATAAAACGGAAAATCAATGAGAAAACTCGAAATATCGAAATACACTTTTGAATTTCTATTGAGTAGCGGAATACACTCAGAGAAATTATTGAATATATTCAATACAAGAAAAATGTTAGTTAGTTAGTTAGTTAGTTAGTTAGTTAGTTAGTTAGTTAGTTAGTTAGTTAGTTAGTTAGTTAGTTAGTTAGTTAGTTAGTTAGTTAGTAGTTAGTTAGTTAGTTAGTTAGTTAGTTAGTTAGTTAGTTAGTTAGTCAGTTAGTCAGTTAGTCAGTTAGTCAGTCAGTTAGTTAGTTAGTTAGTTAGTTAGTTAGTTAGTTAGTTAGTTAGTTAGTTAGTTAGTTAGTTAGTTAGTTAGTTAGTAGTTAGTTAGTTAGTTAGTTAGTTAGTTAGTTAGTTAGTTAGTTAGTTAGTTAGTTAGTTAGTTAGTTAGTTAGTTAGTTAGTTAGTTAGTTAGTTAGTTAGTTAGTTAGTTAGTTAGTTAGTTAGTTAGTTAGTTAGTTAGTTAGTTAGTTAGTTAGTAGTTAGTTAGTTTAGTTAGTTAGTTAGTTAGTTAGTTAGTTAGTTAGTTAGTTAGTTAGTTAGTTAGTTAGTTAGTTAGTTAGTTAGTTAGTTAGTTAGTTAGTTAGTTAGTTAGTTAGTTAGTTAGTTAGTTAGTTAGTTAGTTAGTTAGTAGTTAGTTAGTTAGTTAGTTAGTTAGTTAGTTAGTTAGTTAGTTAGTTAGTTAGTTAGTTAGTTAGTTAGTTAGTTAGTTAGTTAGTTAGTTAGTTAGTTAGTTAGTTAGTTAGTAGTTAGTTAGTTAGTTAGTTAGTTAGTTAGTTAGTTAGTTAGTTAGTAGTTAGTAGTTAGTTAGTTAGTTAGTTAGTTAGTTAGTTAGTTAGTTAGTTAGTTAGTTAGTTAGTTAGTTAGTTAGTTAGTTAGTTAGTTAGTTAGTTAGTTAGTTAGTTAGTTAGTTAGTTAGTTAGTTAGTTAGTTAGTTAGTTAGTTAGTTAGTTAGTTAGTTAGTTAGTTAGTTAGTTAGTTAGTAGTTAGTTAGTTAGTTAGTTAGTTAGTTAGTTAGTTAGTAGTTAGTTAGTTAGTTAGTAGTAGTTAGTTAGTTAGTTAGTTAGTTAGTTAGTTAGGAGTAGTTAGTTAGTAGTTAGTTAGTTAGTTAGTTAGTTAGTAGTTAGTTAGTTAGTAGTTAGTTAGTTAGTTAGTAGTAGTTAGTTAGTTAGTTAGTTAGTTAGTAGTTAGTTAGTTAGTTAGTAGTTAGTTAGTTAGTTAGTTAGTTAGTTAGTTAGTTAGTTAGTTAGTAGTTAGTTAGTTAGTTAGTAGTTAGTTAGTTAGTTAGTTAGTTAGTTAGTTAGTTAGTTAGTTAGTTAGTTAGTAGTTAGTTAGTTAGTTAGTAGTTAGTTAGTAGTTAGTTAGTTAGTTAGTTAGTTAGTTAGTAGTTAGTTAGTTAGTTAGTAGTTAGTTAGTTAGTTAGTTAGTTAGTTAGTTAGTTAGTTAGTTAGTTAGTTAGTTAGTTAGTTAGTTAGTTAGTTAGTTAGTAGTTAGTTAGTTAGTTAGTTAGTTCGTTCGTTCGTTTCGTCGTTGTTAGTTAGTTCGTTGTTGTTCGTTGTTTCGTTCGTTCGTTAGTTCGTTTAGTTCGTCGTTCGTTCGTTAGTGTTAGTTCGTTAGTTAGTTAGTTCGTTGTTCGTTCGTAGTTCGTGTTCGTTTCGTTCGTTAGTTTCGTTCGTTAGTTCGTTCTAGTTTCGGCGTTCTTCGTTTTGTTAGTTATTCGTTCGTTCGTTTCGTTCGTTCGTTAGTTCGTTTCGGTTAGTTGTTCGTTAGTTTCGTTACGTTCGTTTTGTTAGTAGTGTTCGTTATTGTTATGGAAAATGATTGATTATTTCCCTGTGTAATGAATGTTTGGCTTGATAACCGAAACAAAAAACAATTTATTTACTAAAAGTGATTTGTTTATATTTTATACTCTTTTTTTTAATGAAGAATTCTGAAAAAAGAAAGTAGGTAAATTACGACGATATCAAAAACAAAAGCCAACTAAAACTTTATTGACGTGTACATTTAATGAGAGGTAGAGAGCGAGACATGGTATAAAGAAAATATTTTTTTCTACTATGGAGCGAGAGACTTCAAGAGAACAGACTTGAAGAAGATTGCGCGCAACAGCTGTTTTTTTACCTTGATTTTATTTAAGCCAAAGAAGATTCTTGCAACATGTTGGATTGTGGTAGTAACGAAAACAACTTACGTTCGAACATTTTACAGGTAAAATATTTAAATTGAAACAACTTGGTTTGAGATCAGCAATAGAATAGGAAAAAGAAATAAATGTAAAAATTGTGTAGTTGGATCTAAGCTTAAGAAGAGTTACAATAATTTTAAGCCAAACAGACGAAAGAAAGTTTTCACTTAAGCTAGACGTACTGAACGGTGCAGTGCGTCTTTAATATTTGAGTTATTTCAACAGCAAAAGAAAAAACAAATAAGAAAAATCTAGAGCAAATTTTAAATTAGTAACAAGTAAAGTAACTTTAATATTAACGGATACAGCTACAGTGAGACAAACAAATTTGAGGTTCCGCAAATAGTGGAAATAAAAAAAATCATAAACCGTAAAATTTTAATTTTTTTAAACGTACAAAAAAAAATAAGTGATTGTGAAAGTTCCTTAAGAGTCATAATATAAATTGGTTAAATTATCTTAAAAGAAAATAAATAATAATGTTAGTAAAAAAAGCAGTATTTCTGTTGGCCTTATTATGCGTCAACATATCCTTCGGTCACACTACACAACGCCCCTCACGCTCGGCGGGAGGTGATGAAGATGCGAATCCTTTATTGGACATGGCTTCTATGTTTATACAAGAAGCTTTAAATAATCAAAATAATAATGGTGGCCGTGGAGGTGGTGGTGGGGGAGCTGCTGGTCTAGCTGGTATAGCATCTATGGTTGGTTCCTTTATGCAGGCCAATAGTGGTGGTCAAGGTAAAAGTGCTGGCGGTTCGGGTGCCATGCAAATCCTTTCCGGTATTGGTAGTCTCTTGGCTAGTGCTGGCAACAATAATGGAGCTCGCAATGGAGGCGGTGGTGGTGGTTTTGATCCTTCCATTATTGGCAATGTTATTGAAATGTTCACTCAAGGCGATGACAGTGAGGACGATACCGCTGATGGTCAACATCACCATCAAAAGCGTGAATCTGATTCTGGCATTGATTTGGGTTCTATACTACAAATCGCATCTGCTTTTATGGGACAAAATAATGAAGCACCCTCTCATCATCATCAGCAAAAACGTTCAGTCAACACAAATTCAGCCACCCCACAACCTCAGGAAGATAATGGTCTAATGAGTCTTTTGCCTTTGGTTATGCAAGCTGTCAGTTCATTTGCTGGACCTGAAGGACAACATACTCAAGAGAAACACAGAGATCATGCTTGGGTCTTGCCTCCTTTCTTGGAACACTTGCATGTTTTGTGGGATCATTTCTCGAATTCGGAGTTGGCGGATGCTCTTTACGAAAAGTCGGGTGTTAATAAGATTATGA